GAGGAGCAGCCTCTCTCCCCCGGACCCTGCTCCACCCTCACATCGTCTCTGGGGACCCGGTACCCTGCTCCCTCTTATAACCGCCCTTCGTGATGCATTAGGCTCACCTGGATGGTCCGGGATACTCTTCCCATGTTCAGAACCTTACTTTAACCACGTCAGCAAAGTTCATTTTCAGGTAACATATTCACAGGCTCCAGGGGTTAAGACACGGATCTTTGGGGGGCTAGTATCGAGGTTACCACCGGAACCAGCTAAGCTCTCCCCCTTGCACGGGCCAGCCTCCCTAGAGACAGGTTCCAGCTTAGAAGGTAAATTCTGGAACCTGGGTGGGTCGGAGAGCTTGGGCAGGGGGGCCTTGCAGTCACCATCCAGGGTGTTCAGTCTCTCAGTCCCCTTGGGCTTGGTGCAGTAGCTGTATTGTTGGTGAATCTACTTCCCTCCCATTCAGAGAGCCTCTGCTTTACCCTTTGTAGAGAATAAACGTTCAGTTGTCCGCTGCTTCCCAGGGGCGCGGAGAGGACAGGGATGCGGGGACTCACCCGGCTCGTCTTGTCTTAGTGGTCTCTTTCCTCCTAGTACCAGAGGTATCTGATGCTGTCCATGTGGGAGTGTTTGGGGGATGTAAGACATGAATCATGTCGGCTCTCAGCTTCCCCCGCTGGGAGCTTGGGGTTGTTCATGTTTCTTGAGTTGTTTTGGTCAGTTATGTCCCATCAGTATGCTGCTTCCAAAGTGTTATTGCTGTTGTCTCTTACCCTAATATTTCCATATGTGTTGGTTCATGATTGTGAATTTAATGTGTTATCAGCAGAAGTGAAATAGACGTGTGTGTGTGTGCGCGTGTGTGGGTGTGCGTGCACACATATGTGTGTTTTCATATTGACCCAGAAAAAGCACATGATTTGAATCGGTCGCGTTCCTTGGCCGGGCACGCGCCGGCTGACCTGGGTGGCCAGGCACCACATCTAGTAAGACGGTGCAGAGGCAGGGCTGTGGATTGCACACATTCAAGCTTGACTCGTCCCCGGTGCTGTCCCAGTTCCTCCGGGACCGCAGCCTTGCCCAGAATCCCCAGCTTCCTCTCCAGAGCAGGAAGCGAAACTGGCAGGAGGCTTTCTGAATTTGAATAGTTGTGACTCTCATACAGGAACCTCGAATTGGCCCTATTCCTTAGGGTTCCCCAGTGAGTGGAAGGGACAGGCCACCTGAGGAGGATGCTGTCAGCTTCAGTCTCCGGCATGTGACAACAGGAAGTGTTGGCTTCTCTATGGTTCATCTGGTCTAGCAATGCCTACCTCTTATCTCTGTCTTCTTTATCTCCCCAGACAGCTGACCCTGCGCTGTCACTGTGACCCTATGAACTTCCTCCACCCCTTCCTTTTCGGTTGTACTTATGGCATTTCCAGGTTTCAGCCACCCCAAATCTGCTCCAACTGCACCTGGTTCAGAATTAAGTCGCCCTGCTTCTAAGAGTTTTATAAGTATTAACTCAATCTCCACAGAGACTATCGTTATTCATATTTTACAGATTCAGAGACTGAGGCACAGAGAGGTTAAGTAATTTGGCCAAGGTAACACAGCTACTAAGGCAGAGCTCAGATTGGAATCTGAGCAATTTGACTCCAGAGTATATCTTTTAAATCACTATGTTATAGGACGGATAAGTAAATCCCATTCATGTGCCAAACACTGTTTTCTGACGTGTGTGTGTGTGTGTGTGTGTGTGTGAGTGTGTGTATACTATATAAATGAATTAGTATACATATATAGTCATTTAATCCTCATAGAAACTTTAGATCAAGCAAACAGCCAAAAGGAAAGATAGTGAATATCTGAACAACAAAATTAACACCTTGACCTAATGGAAACATATAGAAGCCTGCACTCAATCCATTTAGCGGAAGCATATACTTGCACATAGAACAGTGACAAATCAAAAAGTCTTAAAAATGGCCCTGGCCTGTTTGGCTCAACGGTTAGAGCATCAGCCCACGGACCAAAGAGTCGTGGGTTCGACTCTTTGAGCCAAGGGCACGTCCTTGGTTGTGGTTTGGTCCCCGGCCCTGGTCTGAGTTGTGCGGCAGGCAACTAGTCAATGTGTCCCTCTCACATCAATGTTTCTCTCTCTCTCTCTCCCTCCCTCCCTCTCTCCCACTCTATCTGAAGATAAATGAGAAAATATCCTCGAGTGAGGATGAAAAAAAAAAGGTCTTAAAAATGTTCAAAGTATCAGAATCATATAAACCACGTTCAACCATCAAATACAATTTAGTTATAAATCAATAAAAAAAAAACAAAATTCATAAGTTTGGGAATTTTAAAGCACATTAAAAACTCATAAATGATAAAGAAAAGTAGAAAATATTTATAACCAAATAAGAAAAATACCACATTTTAAAACTTGTGAGATATAGCCAAAGTAGTTAAATAACAAATACACAGTCTTAAATGCTTATTTTTTTTTTAAAAAAAAAGATTCAAAATTAATAAGCTAGGCATTCAATTCAAGAAGTCAGAAAAATGAGCTAGAAATTAGGAAACTAAGAGAAATAATAAGTACAAGAGCATAAATGCATACGATAGAAATCATTCTCAATTAGAATTAGCTGGCAGTACTGTCTCTCTGAAATTTAGGAAATAGAAAGAGTTCCTTCTAGAAAGGGGAAGGCAAAGGACGGTCACAGAGCTTTCCTGTCGAGCACTTTCCTCTTTTAAGCTCCTTAAATGAATCTTACAGAAAAGATGAGAGGATATTTGCTTTTTAAATATTTATTTTTCTAATTGTTCAAGTAACACAGTTTTCAAAGAAAGATTTATAAATATAGAACAATGGAAAGAAATATAACTCATCATCGCATCACTAAGTGATCATTATCAACATTTAGGTATTGTTTTTCAGTCTTTTTTCTGTGCATCTGAAGATGTGTGCATGTCTACTTGTAATTACATGGTTGTTTAATAAAAAAACTTAGACTCTGGCGGGTGTGGCTCAGTTGGTTGGAGCATCGTCCTGTGGCCCCAAGGGTCCCGGGTTCCATCCTTGGTCAGGGCGTGTGTGGGAAGCAACCAATCGATGTTTCGCTCTCACATCATTTTCTTCTCTTTCTCTTCCTCTCCCTTCCTCTCTCTCTAAAACCAGTGAAAAGAATTAAAACAAAAACAAAAACATGGGCTCAAACTGCACATAGAGATCTGTATTGAACTCTTTACTTAAAATTGCATTGTTGGCATATTCTCTTTAAAAACTACATTTTGAGCGGCTGTGTCAATATTTAATTTACTAATAGATACACTGTATTGCATTTGACTGTGCCCCTGTTTTCTGACAATGTTTCTGGTTCTGTGGTGGAGTCATTCAGCTGACGTCGACCCACAACCCACACACTGTAAGGGGCCATATTGAATCTAAACACGGTTGAGACGGTGGGAATGTGTCTGAGCAACTGCTGGAGTTGACCTGTCAGAAGTCCCTTTCCAACAGGACCGAAAGAACTGGACGTGATGAGTTTGTGGCCTTGACAGACTAATCAGATACTCTCTGCATGTTACTTTTCTGATAGCAATGCCGGGTTGCTTCATTCTTGGCTTCCTAGTTCAAATTCTCAACCAAGAGTGACCACCAATCTTGTTTGGTCGATGTTTTCCTCGAGGCTAAGAAAGAGGCCACTAGGGTGACAATGGGCTTCCCGTGACTGGAGCGCCCATCCCAGTTCTATCAGCTGGGTCCGGGGCATGAGGGTTGTGTGATACACCCCACGGCTTGTTTTTAAGATGCTCACTTCAGCACAGGCTGTGGGCTGGTCTGATTCTCTTAAAGAAGCAGTGGGCTGATTAGGCACCAAGGGGACGGGCATTCTTCAGACTACTGGCTACTGCTGCCCAGCTTTGGCACAGAGCAGATGTTGGCAGAGCATTGTTGACAGTGTCCGTAGAGGAGAGTGATGGGGAAGTGGCAGAAGTGTTAAGGCCCAGTGTGCTTGTGATGGAGACAGGCACTCAACAGAGCAGCCATGAAGAGCAGAAGGGCCTGGTTTGAATATCCAACACTGAGTGTCTACTATGCCCCTGCATGCCAGGCCCCACGGGTGATGGGAAAATGTAAGACATGGCTTCTGTTCTCAAAAAGGTCATGGTAAGCACAGGCAGAAAAATTAACAATGTTTTGCTTAATACACTTAAAATAAGAAATACAGGTAGAGATAACCCCCATGACAATTAGCAATTGGTCAATGGTCACTGTCTCTAACCCACTGAGCATGTCCTCAACTGCTCATTTATTTCAAGGCTGTCCCCTGTAGCCCACCACCCACCAGGAGTGAGAAAACAGTGCCCAAAGCTCGGTCAGGTTATACAAATTTATATAAAACTCCATTTGGTTTATCTATCTCACTACTTTCCCCACTGAACATTGATTGGAGTGTGACTCTATGACATTTACAGGTGCTCAAGGCTGGAAAAAGCATATGCTTCTTTAAAGGTTGAAAAATATGAAAAAATTCTAATAGTAAAAATATGTTTTTAGAAAGTATTTTGATAGTAAAACATAAAGATGACTTGGAAAATATGAAAAATTAGGAAGAAGGGTCACCTACGACCCAAATCACCACAGGTGACACTTTTGTGTAAACTCTTCTCGATTTAGTTTTTATCCTATATTTTGATTATTTGGTGTTTTGTTTTGTTTGTTTGTTTTAGATGGTTATGCTTTTTACTGTAAACATAAATTTGTAATCTGCTTTTTCACATAGCATTATTCATAATCTTTAAAACATCATTTGTAATGACCATGTAAAATTACAGCTAATGTACCACTCTTTGTTTAATCTTTCTAATGTGCCACTCTATTTAATCTTTCCCCTAAGATTCAACTTTTTTGGTATTTCTAATTTTTCAGAATATCAAATAATGTTGAAATATATCCATCTGCATAAAGTTTTATCTTGTATTCTTATTTATTTCCATAGTAGAGTATATATAAACATTTCTAAAGACCTTGACCCATATTACTTAGAAAACAATTCTAAATAAAAGTGTGGCATAATTTGCACTTCCAGTGAGAACTGTAAATTTCACAAATGATGACAATAAATACCAAATGCTGAAGATACCATTTGGATATTGCCCTCGAGACTTAGATAGATGACCTTAACTTGATAATGGAAAACGGTTCTTGTCCTTATTCAAATGATTCCAGGCTATAAAAAAGAAAAGGAAAACCAAAGTGAGTAAAGTAGTAAATTTGACTTGATTAATGATTCATAATCCAGGTAACAACTTAAACTTACAGTTTGTATTCAACATATAATGGACTAGGAAAATATCTGTTTGAAACTGCTAGGAAAGGAATGATCTAATATATGTTGTTAAACATGACACAAGATCTCAATCATGGTTTCTCTACCCTCTGGACTTGCTGGATAGGTTTAGTAGTTTCAATTAAGACTAAATTATTGTTAATATTTTAGCAGATGATACTGAAATAGTTCCAATAGATGAAGACATATTTAACTTCTTAAAAACTACTCACTTATGACTCAAAGAAGGCTCATTAGCGGAGTGTACCAGCATGCAAAAGAAATAGGATAAGGTTGTGAGTCTTTGGTTATTTTATGAACAAGAAAATTCTCAATACACATAAATGCATATATTTATCTGAGCTTTGGGTCATATCGGCACAGAACACTGAAATGTTGCTCATTGAAAACAATGAGTTGTTTTCATCATAGAACGTGGAATGCAGATCTTACTATTACATTGATTCAGTCCACATGGACACACCAACAGACACATTGGAATATTGAAAATAATCAGAGGTAGTAGAGGTTGGGTAAAGATGGGGACAGTAGGAATGGAAAGGAAACGATGGAATTCTAACAGTCTTCTAACAAAGCTCCCTGAGTCCTGGGCAGTGGGGGTGAAAGGAATGAGGTACAGGTGTGAGCGGGGGGTGTTACCTGGATGATGACTGAATAGGTCCCACACAATATCTTGGATAACTGAACGACTACTCTGACGAGGCAGACGGTCACCTGGAGCCCGCTGAGCACTATGAGGATGGAGAACAGAATGATGTTCCATTCCACCACGTGCGCGGGTTCAAGGCATTGACTCCACATGCTGGAATCTGTGAGGAAACTGAGAGCAAGGGGGTCATGGTCAACAAGCCCAGCATGGCCAAGCCTACATCCGTGGTCCAAGATAGAAGGCTGCAGTGATTTACATGTTTGGGACACTAATACATATAATAAAATACATAATATTATTAAGTATGAGTTTATATATTTAAAAAATCATTCAGAACATATATGGGCCATATAGTATGTATAGCACTGGGTTATGCTTATTATGAACACGGTGCCTGTCTCAGAGACAATCCTAATTCAATTGGGAAGCAAGACACAATCTGAAGAGTTCGATAGCAATGGAAGGCAACAGATGTCAATACCAAGAGCGGTAGAGGCCGCCTGTTCTCTCGGAGACCAAAAGTTAGCCTGGGCTGTCAGGGACAGGGCTGAGCTTGCGCTGGACATAACATCACACAGGTGGTCAAATAAAAACAAGAAAGTCTGCGAGATATTCCTAGACTCTGTCCCAAAGCCCTTAGAACAGTGGTTCTCAAACTTGACATCGGGATGGTGGAGGGCTTGTGAAGGTGCGGATTGCTGGGCCCCACCACAGGGTTTCTGATTCAGAAGTTGTGGGTGGTGTTCAAGACTGCATATCTAAGTTCCCAGGCGATGGTGATGCTGCTGGTGTGGGGTCCACAGTGTGGGGCCCTCTGCTTCAGAATGTTGCTATTACAGTCGGCCCTTGTTTATGGTGGTTCATCAGTTCCCGACTCTACCGCGATAAATGAATTTCCACGAAGTAGGATTCTTTATTTATAAATCGAATATTTTTGCAATTAGAGCATAGAAACCTGTTTAGGACCTTCTAAATACGTTTTTAACATTATTAGGGCCCTATACACATGAAATAACACACTTTAGTCACCATTACACTCATATTACCCAATATATTAGAGAAAATAAGACATATTAGACGTTACAAATATATTATTATTATTGTACATTTAATTACACACACACAGTTCTTACACACAACCACTAACCTATGAAAAGAGTGCAACTTGTTTGATGATGAAGCGATGACGATGAAGAGATGTGCTGCACAGCAAAGAAGAGCAAGGTTGCTTCTGATACGTAGGATGCAGAAGCGTGTTTGAGAGACACGAACTTGCGTGAGGCTGAGCCAATCAGTGGCCAGGATAGGAAGAGGATAGGCTAGCCCATCAATGACCAGCATGCTCTAATTGGCTTGGTTTCACCACACCCAATTTTTTGGGAAAAAGTTATTGCCCAAACACAAGGGGTGGTTGAGCGGGTGCACCTGGTGTTGAAGGGTTCCTGGGGTGCTCGACTACATAGCCTCCAGTCTGCACGTACAGTAATCGTAATTGTAATTGTAATTGTAATACAGGGGTGTATAATTGACTCAGACAACTGAGCGTGCGCTGTATCATTTTCACTGTCTCGATCAATTTTTTAATGAATGTATTTGGGAAAAAATGCAATAGAGTGAAGCCACGAACGCCAAAGAGCGAAGTGGCGAGGGACGACTGTACACGGTTTTTAAGATGTCGATTGTGAGGTGGGAACGCAAAAGACCAAAAGCTATGATCAGTCTAGTTCAGCACAGAATTGTGAGCATTGCACACCTTCCAAGATCATTTTAAAGCCACACGCATCAACCTGACGACTTTTGCTCACTTCCAAGTCTACTATGACCATGACCCCTTCTTCTAAGGATACACGCTCTGTTCAACAAAATCAAAATGGAAAACTGGTCTTTTAAAAATAAATCCTCCAAACAAAAACAATCAAGCCTATTTACAGGGCAGAATTTTCTATAAATATCTTGTCAGTAGGAAGATGATTGTTCTTAAAATGGCAATGCAGGCAACCTGAGTACCAGCCAGGTGCCTCTGGGGGTAACGCCTGTGGTAGAAAGGAGTGAATTCCGCATTTCGGTGACTACCCTCACCACCATGTCCTCGCTCTTCTTTTCGTTTTTCTCTCTCCCCTCTTCACTTCTTTCTTATTCCCTTCCTTCAATTCTTTCTTATTCTCTATGCTCCAGAACACTCAGAGGAACTCTGAGAATTTCTTGGTATTGCCAATGACTCTGAGGTCCCAATAGGTAAAGAACACTAAATATGAAGTCACAACTCCCAGACCTGTAGGATGTTGGGTGAGGGACATTACATCTCTGTCCTTGAGAGTTTTATCTGGGCAATGAGCTCAAAATATCTAACCCTACGGTTACTGTGACTGTTTGTTGAGAGTTATGTAAAAATGCTTTGGAACCTGTAAAGCAACCTACAGATCTAATGTCCTGTTACCATTTCCCTAGACCCATGTCATGTGCCCTTAGACTCCTCACTCAGTCTCAGCCACCAGGGAAGCTACTCTCTTCAAAGTCCTTATTCTAGACTGTTGCTCGGGCACGCTCTGCAAGATCACCCAACACTTCGAAGTGAGATGACTCGCAGGGTTTCTATTTCCCTCCCAGACTACGGTCCTGTATTTGTTCTTGTAAAACCACAGAGAGTCATAGTGCGTCAGCAGCATCTGCAAGGGGTGGAGAGTCTGGAGATGGGAATGCAAATGGCAAGTGCAACGTGAAAGAAGCAATGGAGAAGCCAGTGGGGAGCCTGAGATTCTTGCATGGTTTTGGGGTGGGGGAAAAGTTCAGGGACTGATGGCATAAAAAAGGATTTTTTGCACCCTCTGGGACGTTATAAATTAGGGCCCCTTTCCTAAAGCCCTTCAGTTCCACAGGGTTGTCTTCTCCAAGTGCTCAGAAAGGCCTGGGGTTGTTTCTGAGGTTCTCCTGAGCCGAGGAAGAGCTTTGGACGTGGCACCTTGTGGGACCTTCCGAATAAAGGGGGCACAGAGCAGTTCGTCCAAGCAGCTCCAGGTGAGCATGAGACCTCAATTAGATGTGGGCCTTGAACAGTAAAGCCAGTTGTGGGGAGTCGAGAAGAAAATGTGACTTCCCCAGGGGATGGTACAGACACTCCCTCATTTCATTCCGTTGGATTCTGAGCATAGGGAAAGACAGGGAGAGATTCAATGACCCTCTCCTGTGTCTCCGTCTGGGCCCTGCCTCCTTTTAAAAAAATTATTATTTACTTAGTTTTGTTAATCCTCACCCGAGGATATTTATCCATTGATTTTTTTTTTCAGATAGAGTGGAAGGGAGGGAGGTTGAGAGAGTGAGAAACATCGACGTGAGAGAGACACAGTGATCAGCTGCCTCCTGCCGACCCTGCAACCCGGGTATGTGCCCTTGACCAGGAATAGACCTCGAGACCCTTTGGTCTTCGGGCCGCCACTCTAACTACTGAGCTAAACTGGCCCTGCTACCTTCTGCGCTGCCTCTGCAGATGCTGGTAGGCCAGCCAGCTCCGCACGACGCCAGTGTAAGGCATCTGTGATGCAGCACTGGTCCCTCATCCCCGCCTGCGCTGCATCCTGGCCTCCGGAGCCGTCTCTTAGCCTCCTCCGCAGTACCTGCTAGATGAGTTCCCGGCTCCGTCTACAAACTCCTGCTCCCGGGCATGTCTCTGGGTCTCAGACTGCACTTTGCTACTTGCCCTGCCTGGTTCTAGCTCTGTGTAGCCCCTGCTGGTGTAGCCCTGGGTGTCACCATCCAAGGGCATTGCGAGTCTCTCTCAGTTGAACCCTTTTATATCTGTAACATAGCACATATGTCCAACCTGGCCACAAAACAAGACCAGCTTCCCAGAACCACCCACGTCCCAGCAGCTGGCAGACAGCGATCAGCATGAAGCCCTGTTCTGAAGGATGGGAGAACACGTCTTTTATTCGAATATCTCCACGAGAGCCTCAAAATAGTGACTGCACGTGGATTAACCGACTGGAGGGAAAAACATCTGAACAAAGATGCAGGCACATATTGGTCTGGAGATCAGGAAACAAATAGGAAAATCGTGCACTAAGCCAGCTGCACGAAACTACAAAGCGATCATGGAAATTAACATGAGCGTGAAGTCAGGCGCCTCCGGCCTCCTTGGGTGGAGGAGTTGTTCCTTACCGTCCTGCAGTGCCTTCGAAGGCGTACTCCCAGCCACCGAGGGTGCGGCAGTAGGGGCCTTGGACGAGGCCCAGAGCCGAAATCGCCAGGCAGTATCCAGAGAAAGCAATGCCAAGGACAGAGAAGATCATTGACAGCAGTGTCTAAATGTAACACAGAGGAAGGAGGTTAGTGCCACAGAATGAGACAAGGGGATATTGTGGGTAAATGATCAGATAGGTACCTCCCCCTACTCACCCAAGCCTCCTCAACTCTGCGTAATACCAAATGTCCAGGTAAAAATGGGAACATTTAACATTTAATCCAAGCCCACCTGATTTTAAAAATAAGTTTTTAAGTTACTTTTCATTTGGCATTCCATAGAGGTGACTAGCTAATTTACTAAATTTCTTCTATTTTTTTTTTTCTGGAATTTTGACACCAAAATAATGATCATCTCATACATAACGCAGTGAAGGGTATGATCAGTCCATCTATTTATTGAAGACATGTTATTTTCTAAGTAGGGGTTCTCTAAGAATCATAAGCTATGATCCCTGCTTTTCTCTTATGTAAATGATATTTTAATAGTCTCACACAAAGGAATCTGGGGGGAGATATCTGGGCTTAGCCTGGATGGTCATGTTTGTGTTTCAGTAAGGCTGTGATTGATGGGGATGAGGGTGTTTTCTGTTATTCTTGGTGTCAGCAGTGGGATCCGGAGGGTGTTTTCATTTGGGTAGAGAAATGAGCCACGGTCACGGCAGGTCGGCACAGGCAGAGCTGTGAGTAGGTAGATCGGTTTGATCCAAAAGGGGACCCTGCAGAGGCGTCGAAGACAGAGCTACGAAGACCAGACAGACACGGTGCCAAAGCTGGGAAACAGGGCTGATGGGACACAGTCTAGCCCTTGTGGCTTTTACAAAGTGAGTGCAGATCCATAGATCTGGGTGGAGCACGGCCTTGAGCTGCATCAAGGACTCTGGACTTCCTCCTTCTGGGCAAGGTTATTTTAACAAACTTTTTTTTTTTTTTTCATCCTCACCCTAGGACATTTTTCCATTTTTTTGTTCAGGTAGAGTGGGAGGGAGAGAGAGGAACAGAGAGAGAGAGAAACATCGACGTGAAAGGAACACATCGAGTGGCTGCCACCCGCACAACCGACCAGGGCCGGGGACAAACTGCAACCGAGGTACATGCCCTTAGCCGGAACCGAACCGGGTCTCTCAGGACCGCAGGCCAACGCTCTAACCGCTGAGCCAAACCGGCCAGGGCTTAACAAACTTTTATTAAAATGTTTTCAAATCTACAAAAATATTCAAAGTATAGTACAATGAACCCCTATGGACCCTTTACCTAAATTCACCTTTTGTGAATATTTACTGCTTTGGCTTGCACACTCTTTCTCTGTTTATGTGTGTGTGTATATATATGTTTATTGACACAATTTTTTTCTTAAAGTATTTGACATTATGCTCTCTCTCCCCCACACACATCAGCTCATATCTTCCAAGAACAAAGATATTCTATTTTTGTGTGGTTGTTTTTCACTGTTTTATACAGGAGCCTATGAAGTGTTGTGCACAAAATCACATCTCTGAAATTTCCTTTAATCCACACTAATCTTACTGCCTTTTTGTTTTCTAGTGTATTAAATTATTTTTGAAGAATCCCAGCCAGTTGTCTTGTAGAATGCTCTACATTCTTAGCTTTTCTGATTGTCTCCTCCACAATGGACTTGGGTCGAACCTGTTGGCAAGAACGTGTGATTGGTGTGAGTACATTGTGTGTCTCTCACTGCTATTGGTGATTGTAAGTTTGAGCTCTTGGTTAAGGTGGTTTCCTTCAGATTTATAAATGTACATCTTTCACTTTGCAATTAGTAAATAATTTGTGAGGTAGTACCTTGAAACCGTGTCATATCCTGTTCCCTAAAGACATTTCAACTGATGCATTGAGCCACCACTGGTCACCAATTATCACAATCATTGGTTGCAATGTGCTGTTTTTCTATCATTTCTTCTGCATTTATGTTATTTTTCTGCACAGAAGAACTTCTACTTTTTTCTTCGCTGTATCTCTCTTTCTGTACTCATAGATATTCTAATTCAATGTGTTATAATTCATAACTTATTATTTTTTAGATGTTGAGATGGGCCAAATATGGCCAGTGGGAACATCATTCAAGGTCCATTCCTGTGCCCCTCACATGTCCTTATTCATTCTTTGAACATTTCCTTGCTCTCTGGCACAGATGTCCCAAGCTCACCTTGAATTGACATTGCCCTGGCCTGGGAGAAGCTCTTTTTCTGACAAGTTAGGTAGTTTGTTTTTGAGCATGGATGTGATATAAACCTACATGTGATTTTGGAAAGATTTCTCCGGCAGTGATGTCATGAAGCTGGAAGTGAGAGAGCCCAGGAATAAAGTCTCCATGTGGACTCAGCTTCAAGTTCAGGCGACAAAGACATGCACTGGAGAAAGAAAGACATTAAGCAGGAAATCAGTAGCTGAAGATGGACTGAAGAAAAATTCCAGAGTTTAAAACTTGGATGAAAAGGAGGCAGAAATAGGGATGCCAAGAAGAGTGGTTGGTATGGAAAAACATTAATTTAGTTTTAGAAGTGATTGTTTCAAATGAGAGTAGGAAAGCCAAAGAGAAACATGCAGAAGCCAGTAGATGAAAATTCAAAAACCGAGACCAAAGAAAGTGACAAGAACAAACTTGTGATCTCAGGAACAAGGGCCTTCTGTAGTTCTTTGTTTAAGATTATTTTACTGATTATAACATTAATACATGTTTACTAAGGAAAACTGGGGAAATATATTTCAAAAACAAAAGAACAATTGTGCTTTTCTGATATTATTTCATTGATATCATCCTCTATGATTAAAAGCTCTTTCAAGTTATATTTCTTATATTGATTTTAATAGGGTTTTGCCCCATCATGAAATGAGATGAACAGAGCTACTTTTTATTTTACATTAGATTATTGTTAGTGACACTTTGTAAAGAAAATTTACCTGTTCAGCAATGCCATCTTTGAAAAAGGAAGAAGGATGTTTTGAAAAGATTGAGCTCTTTGTTTACCAAATGTATTCTTAAACAGTTCACTGGGAAGATCAGGGAAGGATTTCTTCATTCGGGAAAATTGGCAACCACAGCATTACATATGTATTACATTACAGTGTAATGAATGCTAGACACCATGGCACAATCAAGGTAAGCATCACTATAAGTGAGAATAAGAATCTCTGGCTCTGGCCAGTGTGGCTCAGTTGGTTGGGCATCATTCTGTGTATCAGAAGGTCATAGGTTTGATTCCCAGTCAGGGCACATACCTGGGTTGTGGGTTCAATACTCAGTCAGGGCACATGCAGGAGGCTACTGATCGATGTTACTCTCTCTCTCTTTCCCTTCCTCTCTAAAATCAATAATATAAAATAAATTTTAAAAAGAATCTCTTGGAGATTCCAAAATGGCGGCAGAGTGAATGGAAGCAACACAGACCATCTCCCAAGACCAAACTGGAATTACAACGAAAATAAAGACAAATCGTCAGGAAAAAGCAAGAGAAAAGCAGCTTGGAGGACCATATAACCAGGGACACTGACTCAATCCTGGTAGGATTGTGGAGGCGTGAGCAGGGGGCTGGGAGCCCGCAGCATCCTGGGCTGTGAGCAGTGCCCTCGAGTTAAACTCCCAGGTGGCTCCACAGCCCAGAGCCAGGACAGACGCTAAAATAGCCACAGCCACTCACCTTGGGCTCTGGCAGAGGGAGGGTGGACGGGACTGGAACTGTGTGGGGACACTCGGGATTTGGAGGGTGCTCATAGCTTTTGCTGAGTTGTGGCCACACAGGACTGTGGCCATTTTACTCCTTCCCAGGGCTCTGGGGAGAGGCAGTGGCCCCTCCCTTGGAGATTCAATGACACCCGGTGGCCATTGAAATGCAAATTGAGGCTTATTAACAACCAGCATCTGCCCCACCCTTGGGAAATTCCCTTATGCTGAACACCTGAGGGAGTTTTTCATTCAACTGAGAAGCCAAGGCTCTTCAAGTAACTGCAATAACCTCCAGGCAAAAAGCTAGAGAATATCTGAACCATTCCTGGGCTTGCAACTCTGCCCAGGAAGGTAAGACTTGACAGTGGTGTTTAACATGGGTCCTCCCACGCTCATCCAACCCAGTCGAGGGAGCCACAAACAGCAGAACACCAACACCCACAGGGATAATTTGGCAGACTCCAAAGCCCACTGAGATAGCCCAACTGGTGAAACACAGAAACAAATGCCAAATGAAAAAACAAGAGACCTCTACCAAAGCTGAGATAAATGAAATACAGTTAAGCAAGTTAACAGAGCTAATATTCAAAGCCATGATCTTCAGGAAGCTCAACAGCATGAGTAAGGATATCAACACCATGAGTAAAGAAACAGAAACATTGAAAATCAACCAATTGGAAATGAAAAACCACCAAGAAGAAATGAAGAATGGCATAGCAGAAATAAAGAACACACTGGAAGGGCTAAAGAGCAGAGTACAGAAAGCTGAGGACTGGATCAGTGAATTGGAAGACAGGGTAGAAAAAAATCAACCAATCAGAAAACCAAAAGCAAAAAAAAAATTAAAAAACAGGAAGACAGCTTAAGAGAACTGTGGGACAACTGGAAATGTCATAATATTCGCATCATAGGAGTCCCCAAGAGGAAGAAAATGAGCGAGGGTTAGAGAATATATTTGAAGAAATAGTGACAGAAAACTTCCCTAATTTGGTGAAGGAAGAAGGCATTCAAGTTCAAGAAGCACAGAGAGCCCCAACTAAGAAGAACCCAAACAGGCCCCCACCAAAACACATAGTAATTAAAAAGCCAAAAATTAAAGACAAAGAGAAAATCCTAAAGGCAGCAAGAGAGAAGCAACAGGTTACCTACAAAGGAACTCCCATTAGGCTCTCAGCTGACCTCTCAACGGAAACACTACAAGCCAGAAGGGAGTGGCATGAAGTAATCAAGGTCATGAAAAACAAGAATCTGAATCCAAGACTACTCTACCCAGCAAGGCTATCATTCAAAATAGAAGGTCAAATAAAGAGCTTCCCAGACAAAAAAAAGGCTAAGGGAATACATTAGCACCAAACCAGCACTGCAAGAAATGTTCAA